CTAAGTCATAAAAACATATTTCTCTAATTCAGATAGGAGGTTCCATATAAAATGTACAGTGTAATTATATTAATTACAGATATATACAAACAGCAGAAATGCTAAAACCAACATTATCAGCATCCAGCACGGTGACTGCAAATCCTGAAGGATCAGAGTCGTTACATAATGGAGAAGGTCATTCGCAAACGCATTTATTGCTGTTGCACAACCGCTGTCAGTTAGAAGATTTCACACCTGAAGCGATTAAGACTATGCAAGATCTTTACAGGTAAGGTTACTCATTGAGTTATTACAAGTTATTATAAATATATAAAATGCTTAAACTGATCAAAAACGGTCGGTTTAAGCATTTTCATCATTTATTCAATAAAGTCTATAAAAATTCACTGCTGAACATAGGCTTCCCCATAGAATGCTTCATAAGGGGGACATTTGCTATAATGGCCGTCCATATAGCTCGAAGAACCGACAACCGATGGGGAATAGAGATTCTCCCGGTGAATTTTGACAAATACAATAGAGAATATGAATATGATCTGCATAGAAAAAATATCCTCTAGTAACTGATACCTTAGCCTTCTTATGGTTAAGCTAGAAATTATTATCTAGCAAACAAATTATTTAATTCAAGTTTTGAAAATAAGTTGATAATATTTTCTAATAATCATGTATTCTTTTACAGGAAAGCTTTTCAAAGGTCCAACTTGCAGTTGAATTCTGGCATGTACATGTATAGTGATATCAACAAGAATGGTATTCATTTAGATCAAGTATACAAAGGTTGTGACGTGGAGAATGGTGGACCACCAATAAATTTGTTTCTTTTGCCTGAAATTTATAGTGATTTCGGTAAGAAACTATTAATTATTTTTTCAAGTATCTAGAAAGTACTTTTATAATTTCATATTATTGGAAACCTATGAAATATTGCGCATATAATGTCAACAAAAGTGACCGATGATGTAGTATTTGATGATGAGAATGTTTTCATGGCAGCTCGCCTCAATACGTAGCCAATCTTGTCTGTGACTCTGACATATTATGGTAAATACAGCATGCACACGCTCGGCTGTCGCCGGTTTCACCCGATTTCTGTGATGTAAGCGATGAACTCTTTTACAATGTGGTAGAGCCATGTTGCAGCTATATTAATAGTATAGTTGTAGCACGAATGGGTCGGCTCGACCGGGGAAGGACCACGTTCTCACAGAATACCAACGTAAAATATCAACTTAACTTAATGCTACTGTGTTTTGTGTGGTGAGTGTAGAGAAACAGATACCCTTTTTACTGGAAACGAGTTTTCCATCTTAGACCTCACGGGTGACAACGTATCTGCATTTTAATTTGTAATCAAGGATAGATGTAGATGTCTATGGGCCACAGCAACCACTTACCATCAGGTGGACTGTGTACTCGTTTGTCATCCACATTTTATAAAAAAAAAACTCGAAGCCTGTTGTCGTGCAAAACTATCTTGACTTGCTGAAGCTCGGGGAGTAGGTGTTTTCTGTCACAAATCAATTATACTTTCTGAAACAAAAATATACCCACGGTCGCTAACTGTGAAAGATGATGGCGACATTTATCGTTTAAAATATCGGTTAGTATGGGTCTTTTTTATCTATACACAGTATGACTTATAGTGTTATTAAGATTTCAAATGACTAAGACATCTCAGAAAGCTAAAGAATTATTTGCCTCTTACTCCATAGATTGATGTTAAGAGTTAAAGATTAAGAATTAGAATGCAATAGGTCTGACAAACGTTTTTTACTTTACATGCCAAATAAATCTACAAAATAATACGAGAAAAACTGTGTTTTTACTTTTTTCATATCTTAAAAATTGGTTGAGATATTAACGATCAAAGTGCGTGTTTCCCAGCGAAGATTTTTAAAAATGCGGGCGGGCGCTCATTATCCGATGACGTCACAATCCCGCTCATACAACAATCGCGCTCTCGGTGTACCGCTGCGCAGTAAAAATCTGAATTTTAAAGTTCTCTGTGGTAAAAATGGAAAACAAATACTGTATTGCGCCTCAGTGCTTCAATTCAACAGTTAAAACACCTGATAAACGCTTTTTTTATGTGCCTGAGGACCCAAAAATTAGTCTATTCAATAGGCCCTTAAACTAAAGCGCACTGCTGCGAAGACCATTTCGATATAAGTATTTTTTGTAAGTAATAAGCTGATCCTTCTTCTCTACCCTATCCTTGCCCTACTGAACATATCTACTTGTCTACTTTGATTGTTTAGATAGATCTTGCCAAAGTTGCCAACTACCTAGCACCTAGTAGCAGCGCAGTGCAGTGCTCCTCAACCGACTGTATTGGCGGGCCACAAAATACACATATGGCAAAATATACAAAATATACATAAATATAATATATTTTCTTCCTACTACAATATCAAACTCGCGGCCCGATGTCAGAAGTATCAAACTCGCAGCCCGCATTATCCTTAGTTTTCGTTGATTTTTTTAACGATAGCTACGTACATACATTAAACACGGTTTATATTTAGGTTTTCGAAACCTACGTTTTTAATGTACTATTAGAACGGTTTAACCGATTTAGATAAAACATGTCTATGAACCACTGTTAAAAACAACAATAAATACAAAATAAAAAACAACACGGTTCACCCATTTATGAGCTATAGTACTACAAACATACCGACACACAGACAGACATATAGACACACAGACATACATAGCGGTCAATCTTATAACACCCCTTTTTTGCGTCGGGCATTAATAAATAAATAACCAATAAAAATGGTAAGTAAAAATTTGCGACCCACAAGTTTATCAGCACTGATTTTTTTAAATAGGTTTTAATTTAAACAACTGTAAATGAATAAACTAAAGCGAGCATTGGATAAAATTAATCAAAAATCGGTAAGTATGTGTTTTAGTATAACAATAGAACAATAAGTACCTATTTGCCTAGTTAGAAAACTGATAACTACGTAAATACCCAAATCTATTATATGGTACTTATATGGGTAAATCATAGATTAATAATAGGTCATCGCGCTCGACCTATTATTAATCTAAGGGGTAAATATTGACATTTTCTGTAAGTTTAAACGAATAAACACACAAAATAATCATCGACAAACTCGAGGTACCTAGTATTTTATATCGCCACCCATATTAGGTAAGTATTAAATGAAACACAGAAACTTTCGGTTAGGTTTAAGCAAAGAGATTTAAAATATATATATAGGTATTTGTTCAAACTTAAACCTAATGGTTACCGAGGAAAGTAGGTAAACTATCCACTCTTGGCAGATGGTCCGACTGTCCTTTTACAAAACCTTCCATTCTAGCACTACACGTTTCACTTTAGTGTAATCGAATTTAGAGGATAATATTATTTCTTTGAAATACAAGCACAAACACTATAAGTAGTAGGAATACAAAGACGATCGAAAGAAAATGAAACGAGACCCGCGTAATTTGGTCAAGCGCCGCGTTTGTGTCGCGGTCGCGGTCTGCGGGAGTGTGACGTCATAGTGGGAGCGCGCGTAATCTCTGAAATTGAAAAAGGGCTTAAACTTCTCGTCGTTATAACTTCGGAAATACTGCATGTATTGAAGTGAAATAAAAACTAAAGTCATGTACATGATCTTTACTACGATTTTAATAGTATTTGGTAGTAATATTTTCACCCTTTTGTGTTCCTCATTACTTTGTCTGATGGTAAAATTGTATAATTATCGTCTACATACCTCTAGTAGAATCTCGGGTTTACCAGGTGAAGTAAGAACGTCTTAATTTAATGTATGTATCGGTAAACACTAGAAACAAACACAAGCTAATTATATCAGTAACTCTATTCCAAAGAGATAGTAATTACTTCATGGGACAATGTTTACGCTTTTATTATGAAGTCTCAGAAAATATAGGAGTCAATTTTTAATGACTTTTCTCTTAAAAAAATATCGCAATATTTTTCTTATCAGTCCATAGCAGTCCACTGCTGTACATGGGCCTCATATTTTATAAAGAGAATTTTTCAAATTGCCGCGCTTGGCAGTGGGATTGGCAATTGGTATCAGAATTTTTGCACCGCTACTCACCGTCGCCCGGTTATATAATACTTCTTAGTTATTGTCTTGTATTACATTTGGTATAAACATGAAGTGTTTATACAGGTATTCTCAAAAGCCATAAGTTCTGGCATTTCCCATAGACGTCTATTACGATAAGCATTAGGCGCAATGGGGCGATAAATACTATTAGTGCCGCTAATAAAGGCAATGCAAACTGAAAATTAATTAAACTTTGCATAAACAATTGTCTTTATCCGCTGACCACTGATTCAAGTAGATATCAGATAACTGATACTGAGAACAAAGTTACATTTTTATTAAATTATCTTAATCCATTTTATTAAGTCGTTATCTGTACAGGTGTTCATAGCGTCACATCGATATATTCACAAGTTTTCATTTGTCATTGTCTATAAGTTTTAGTTTCTATTTTAAGGTAAAATCTTAGTACTACCATTTTTTTAAATAAAACAGTAAGCAACTAGTGCTTAAGTGGTTTTAAAAGCAAAATAACCATGACTACTTATTTTTTTCTTTACAGACAAAAGAGAAATATATAGAGGTCATCCATCATTCGAAGAATTGGCAAAACGTCTTCGTTGGCTCGTTCTCGGAGTAAATAGGCATCAAATTACAAATGTACCTAACCTGTCAGAAAAGGGTTGGTTTCAGTACTGCAGCAAGGCTTGGGAAACTATAAGAAAGTGCACATTCTTTATTGAATATGAAAGGTTGTTACCTTGAAGACAGCACGTTTATTTATAAAATTACATAAATGTGTGACGTTAGTGAACGAAGATAAAATGCTGGAAAATGATAGGCATGACAATGGTTAAAATAATGTATATTGACAATACCAAATGTGTAAGATTTTAGACCCAATAAAAGATTTTCAAACAAATAACTGTTTGATTTTTTTATTAAAAGGATTTTTCACTGGTATACACTGTCGATAAGAGGTTTACGTCGTTGATCCGGTGGTTTGTAGGCGTGTTGGTATACGCTCGCTAGACGCCAGTGTTCCGGATAACCTGTGGCATTTGCGTCGCGCCAAATACTAAACGGCGGTGCTAAAGTAGGTATTGTGTAGGATTTCTTCGTATAAGGATGACGCATTTTTGGCATTTTAATACTTTTCGTATCAGTCGAACTAATACTTTGCACGGAATTCGGATTCCCCGCTTTAAATGCGAACTTGTAATCCTCTTTTTGTTTTTTATCTTTGAATATCTTTACACCGTTACATGAAATACAGTGTTTGTGTTTTACGTTATTCAATGAGTTATCTTTCGAGTGTTTCGAAACAGACTCGATCGGAGAACTCTGATGCAATTTTCCCTGGGCGAGCGGGGTTTTTTCATACGATTCCAGACTATTTCTGTTGCGATTAATATCAAAATTGGATTTCTTTCCTGTATCCGAGTTCCAAGCATCTTTTATGGACTGTAACTGATCAGGTCTTTTACTGTCGGAACTTCTGCTCGTTGCACTTGGAGTACCACATCCGTGGACACCGTCGCATTTGTCATTTTTAGCTGATGTAGAACTTTTTCTACTTGACGATATTGATTTAATATTCTTTTCATTAGAATTGTGTTGAGAGCAGTATTGAACGTCACATGTGTCTTTTCGTTTTTCTTTCGTCATATCTTTTTCAAAATAGGGCACTGGATGATGGCCAACATCCTCCACTATTCGATTCTGGTTGAAAATAGGAAAAGTGTGTCCGGTTGTATTTTGGATTTCCTCCTTAGGTGTATGGACCATAGTGAAGACAGCTGGTGCTTTAGAGCCGTTGGAGCCATCTATGTGTTTAGGTGGGCTTGGTTCTAATTTGGGATCATCAGGTCTAAAGTCCCAACATATCGCAAGATCCATAAGCGACATGGGCTTTTTGTATTTTCCTCCTAAATCTAAAGCAGATGTTGACGGACGCTGTTTTTGTTCATCCACCGTCTCAGTTTTCTTAGGGTCGCAAGTTTTAGGTCTATGAACGCGCATTTTGGTACAACAAGTAGGTCCCGATGCACCGTATCCTTTCCAACCTATTGCATATGGCTTAACAACTATGTCAGAATCACGATGCTCTGCCACTTTAGTTAAATTGCGATATCCCAAAGTATCAGGCAAAGGTTGATGTTCTAAATTTCCCACGTGCATTTTTTTCGCAAACTGAAAATTTGGTGACACATTTACGTAAGGGAGTTTTGGTGTTTCACTTTTTGTAACAAATTTCATAGTCTCGCCGTTATGCTCATCGCGATTTGCGTTTTCCGCTATTTTTCTCCAAAACTTTTCAGTTTGATCTTCTTGTGGCCCGTGTATTTGTTCAATAGAATCTTTTAACAACAGATCATAACTTTCATGCCTATTCTGTATGTCGGTTAATGAACCAGGTACATACGGCCCGTGACCATCGCTATCAACGGGCTCTTTCTGCTTCTTTATTTGTAATGGATCATCACCCTCAGTACCATTTGATTCGATGTCGTTATCAGTATTTTTTAAGTCGTTTAAATTACTGTTATTTAAATCTTTTATTTCTCTACAATCTTGAGCCTCCTTTCCGTACAGACATGTAAAATAGATTAAACACTTTTTAATTTACATACATCTATTATTTATATAATTAAATAATTATTTGTAGAACTAATAAACATCTCTGGCAAATTGTTTATAACGACGTTATCACACTAACAGATAAATGACTGTCTTGTAATTAAAGTTATAACAATTTCTTCGTATGGTTTCAATTTTGACTATATTTATTGATTTTGAATACTCTTGTGATACGGACACTGCAAAGGCTGAAATGAATAACAAACAACAGATTAACAAAAGTGGAAACAGTTAAATCTTTCACTTATTCAATATCTAACAACGATAATTGCGAAACACATCATAGATTTCCCTTAGTCGTCTATTACGTATAGATAAGTTAGAGTGATGTATAATTTTTAGTATTTCAAAATGGAAAAAAAATACTAGGACAGAAGGTGCGTAATATGATGTGACCCTACCAACTGTTACCTAACTCATCCTTTATTAATTAAACTAGTGAGTAAATTATGTTAAAATTATAAAATGTAAACACCGTTTATTTTTTTTTTCATTTATTCATTGTAGCCATCTGAATCTACTGCATAGGCCTTCCCAAAGATTGCCTTCTCAGAAGGATATTTGCCACACACACACACATACACACTTGGTGACCTTATGGTTTGGTACCTATTCTGCCATCAAGCAGTATTAATGCACCCATTACCGTTGCAAGTGTAACCAATTAAGGATGTAAAAGTAATTACAGGCTGTAAGGCATTCCATCGTAGCCCACAGGGGTGACAACACACTTAGACCTATTATGTTTGAAGTTGGTTGGTGAACTGTTACCTAGTATTAGAGTTGCCATACGTCTCGTATATACGGGACTATCCCCGTATTTGACCATCTCGTCCCGTATTGCTACATATCCCGTATTGGTCCCGTTTTATCGACAATTTTGACAAAATACGGTAATGGCTCGATCTGAGCATCACGGGTGACCGGCGGGAGTTGCGGGGGCGCCCGCATGTGTGCGGTGAGGGGGCGGTACAGACCGTTCGGCACTCACTAACGGCTCACCTTGCTTGTTAAACGCTATCATGAACGATTGCTGCTTACAACGCAAATGTAGAAAGAATATTTAACTAATATTTAACAACTAATAACCCAAAAAAAACTTGTGGGATACTATAAAACGAGTAACGAACACCATTAAAACTAAAAGCCCTTCTACACAATTACTAACTTTATTACCTTCACCTAAGCAGTCGTGCAATAGTGTAAACTCGTACTTTGTAAATATTGGAGAGAAACGGGCAAATGATATAATCAACTGCAGAACCTTTCTAACAACAATCTCCCCACAAACCCCATCTAACATCACATCTACTTCATCTTTTGTCCTAGATCCTACAGATCCTAATGAAATTATTTCAGTTATAGACTCCTGACGGTCTAATGCTGCTACTGGTTGGGATGGCATTTCGCCTTCCTTCCTAAAGAAATACTCAACCACTCGGGCACCGATCTTATGCCATATATTTAATCTTTGTTTCAACACTGCTGTCTTTCGCACTTAAAAAAGCAATTATTCATCCAGTCTTCAAGGGAGGTGACGAGAACGTACCGAATAATTACCGTCCCATAGCGGTTCTCAGTACTCTATCAAAGGTTCTCGAAAGATTGATTAATAAAAGACTAGTTTCCTACCTCGAACATTATAATTTAATTTCTTCACAGCAGTTTGGCTTACGCAAGAATAAATCGTATATAATCGTAATAATGATGCAGTTCAAAGTTTAACCGATCATGTCGTTCAGAACTTGAATCAAGGCAAAAAGGTCCTAACTATATTTTGGATCTCGCGAAAGCGTTTCACACCGTTCCTGTCTCAACTCTCTTACTCAAATTAGAAAAGATAGGTGTCAGGGGGGTTGCAACTAGATCTCTTTCAAAGTTACCTCACAAATCGCTCCCAGACTGTCAGGATTGATGATCACAATAGTGATGACCTCCCAGTCTATTACGGCGTACCACAAGGAAGTATATTAGGTCCCACACTATTCTTAGTGTTTGTCAACGGTCTGTGCAACCTTAATATTCCAAATGCTAACATTATATCATTTGCAGATGATACTGCAATAACATTCGTCGCCGAAACATGGTCTGTACTTTCAGCAGTACAAAGTTCAAATTGGCTTCGACCTTATAACAAATTGGCTTTATCCCCACACGCTAACCCTTAATGCCTCCAAAACTAAATTTATTACCTATTCTATTAGTTCAGTCTCCCAACCAAATTTACCAATATCCCTTAAAGGCCACTCTTGCCACAGACATACTCAGGTCTCTTGTCAATGTCCAACCATATCCTCTGTTGACCATATTAAATACCTAGATATAATCTTAGATAAAAACCTTAAATTTTAAAAGCCACATTAATCTTCTCACTGGCAGAGTCTGTAAATTAATTTACATATTTAAAACCCTAAGAAGTATTGCTAACCCTACTGTTATATGTAGTAAAGTTTATTTTGCCCTATGCTTATTCATTATTACATACTGTATTTCCTGCTGGGGTGGTGCTGCTAAAACTAACCTAAAGACGCTGGAGGTGGCACACAGAGCCATTTTGAAAGTGGCTACTTTCCGGCCTATCATTTATCCAACTAATCAGTTGTAGGTACAATGACTGGAACGTCCTTAATGTTCGGCAATATTTTATTCTGCAAACAGTTCTAATGCAGCACCGCAAAGCCCCTTACAGGGAAATAAGTAAATGCCGAAAAGACAAAATTTGTTCTCTTCCACAAGTTCGCTTATTATTCACTAAAAGATTCTTTTATTTTCTGGGTCCGTCTCTTTACAATAAAATAAGCGAAAAATGCCCTTAATATGGGTTATCATTATATAACTGCAAGAAGACTGTCCGCTCATACCTTTAAAACACATCTTATGACGAAACAGAAAAATACCTAAACTGACTGATTATAAAATAACTAACCTGATTTATCTACTCTCTCACACAAACACACACATGCACACGCAAACACACACGCATACGCACGCACACACATACGCACGCATTGATTTACCAACTTTATAATTATAATTTGAATAACTAGAAATTGATATAATTGTAGCACTTTTAACTGCATGTAATTATTATATACATAATGTTATGGGGATTGAGACTGTTACTCCTTAATACAGTTTATTCTGTAACCTAGCTAGGAGTGCAGAGCTACATCCACTAGATTAAAGGACATATTTTATAGATAGTACAAACAATGTTATGTCAAACCCATGTACTACAATCACTTTAATATAAATAAATGAAGTTATTCTTATTCTTATTTTCATTGATGACGACTCAAACTCAATGGACTGACGAACGAAACAGTTGTCGGTAAAGACCATTGATTATAATTCCAAAATGATATGCGCCAAGTTCTATGATTATGTTAAAAAAAGAAAACGAGATCATTACAAAACTAAAATCAACCTCAAAATATGATTGGGTGAAAAAATTTATTTGATTTATTTTATATTTTTGATGACCACTAGGGTTAAGATCAGAGAGTAGCTATCAACAAAATGTGTGGTTTGTTTTTCACTAGTATACAATATACATGCATGCTTTGGTGTGACTGAGACGCTGCGTTTCGGCGTAAAATATATTAATGTGTTTTAGACATGGAAATTTTTAAACGTCCCTTATTGGTTCCTGGAAGTTATACCAACCCTACCTAGTATGTCATTTTGCTGTCCTACAGGCACTCTTCTCCAGATCAGTATCTAATGCTTTATTACGAACAGTAGCCAATAACTAGTAAGTTTGTGTTTTTGTATATAATGTTAGGTAATTTAACTCCCATTAGTATTTGAACTCTCGTGAGACTAAGCCAGATAATCTGAACACGTAACTCCTGATACGTTTTTAATATTTTTGACTAATGACTTAGTTATTTTAATAGAATCAGGCAAGAAAAGAAAAGAGAAGTATAAATGCAGACTGAGGGAAAATATAAGTGTGTTGAATGAATTTTGTATGAATGATTTAGACTTGAAGAATGTATGGAATAATGTTAAGAAAGTTTTGGTGGATACAGCAGATGAGATTGAAAGAAAAAAGGCAGACTTTTGACGTATAAATAAGAGAGTAAAAGAAGTTGTTGAAAGGAAAAAACAAGAAAGGATAGATAAGAATGATAGAAGAATATATGATAACTTCCAGGCAAATATTAAAATGTTCTGGAAGCTCGTAAGAACTGCCAGGGGAAATTCAAAACAGCCTAGAATGAATGCTATACGAGACGAGAATGGCTGCATGCTGAATGATGAAGTTTCGAATTTAAAGAAATGGAAGGAATACTTTGAAAGCGTGTTTAAGAGTGAAGAGTCGTCTGAAGTAAGTGAAATAGAAATTCCGGAAGAAGTGGAGAGAGGTAGGGAGATAAGTGTAGTTGAAGCAATGAAAGCAATGAAAAGCATGAAAGCAGGTAAGACAGCCGGATATGATAGAGTATCACTCGAAATGCTAAGGGCTGGTGAGGGTGTGGTTGCAGGCCTGCTGTACACCTTGTTTAATTTATGTTGGGAACTGAAGCGGGTACCGGAAGACTGGTGCAAAGCCTTTATAGTCCCAATATATAAGGGAAAGGGGTCGCAGCAGGACTGTAAAAACTACCGTGGTATCAGCTTGCTTAGTATTGTGGGTAAACTGTATGCTAAGGTGTTAATTGAAAGAGTTATGGAAGAAACTGATGGCAAAATTTGGGGTGTGCAAGCTGGATTTAGAAAGGGGATGGGATGTATGGATCAAGTCTTTTCCCTGCGCATGATTGCGGAGAAATTTTTGGCCAAAAACCAGAAAGATTTTTGTGCGTTCATGGACTTGGAAAAGGCTTATGACAGAGTGGACAGGAACGTGTTATGGCAAACACTGACCTCATTTGGGTTGAGCACTGGTCTGATACAGGCATTAAAGTCTCTTTATAGGGACTCTAGTGCTTGTGTCAGGATCAACGGGGCCTACTCGGACTGGTTTGGCATTCAAAAAGGTGTCAGACAGGGTTGTGTAGGTTCTCCGTGGCTGTTTAACCTATTTATGGACAGCTGTTTGCAAACTTTGAAAGTTGAAGAATGTGGGTTGAGAATGGGTGTGTTAACTGTCAAATGCCTTTTGTACGCCGATGATCAATTCCATCTTAGTCCTCACGGGTGGCAACGCATCTGCATCTTGAGTCTTTATTGAGGAGATGTATATGTCTATGGGTCACAGTAACCACTTACCATCAGGTGGACTGTGTGCTCGTTTGTCACCCGATCCTATAAAAAAAGTCATATTTGCATCGTCGGCGGCCGAGTTGCAAATGATGGTTAATTTAATGAACTGGCCATTAAAAGAAAGGGGTATAAAAGTGACCGCAAGTAAGACGAATGTGATGTTTTTTGAAAGAGAAGAAAGTAAAACATGTGAAATAAGAATAGTAGTGAAATTCATTATATAATCCAAAGAATCCAAGAAGCTAAGTTTATGTTTATTATTCGCGAATCTCTACATAATATAAAACTAACTAAACTACACAACGATTTTCATCAATAGACAGAATGATTCAAGGGAGGTACATGCATCTTATATATTACATAATTCTTCTGTGCATGTACGTGACTGAACTCCTAGACAGCTGGACCGATTTTGATGAATTTTTTTTTAGATTCACAATTGAACTAGGTAGGTGGCACTGTTGACGAGATCCAGAAATCACCCGTGCAAAGCTAGGGCGGACCGCTACTTTTGATTAAAGTAGTAAAGTTAGTAAATATATTAAAGTAGTAAAGTTAGTGCATGTTGATGGACTTCATAATATGTCCTCGAAAAATTTATTTCTCATACATGCAGGTTTATTTCACGATGTTTCCCTTCATCCCCAAGCACGTTGTAAGTGTTTGCTTACAATTACCATTAATTTTAATTATCATAATAACTTTATTTTAGATTATTAAGGTATCATACGTGGTAGAGTCATGCTGCAGCTATATTAGTAGTATAGTTGCAACACGAATGGGTCGGCTCGACCGGGGAAGGACCACGCTCTCGCAGAATACCAGCGTTAAATAGCAGCTTAACACTGCTGTTACGTATGGTGAGTGTAGAGAACCGGAGACCCTTTTTACTGGAAAAGATGCATTTCATCTTAGTCTTGACGGGTGAAAACGCATCTACATTTTGATTCGCGAACGAGGATAGATGTAGATGTCTATGGGCCACAGCAACCACCTACCATCAAGTGGACTGTGTGATCGTTTGTCACCCTATGCCATAAAAAAAATGTTTTATTAAAAAGTTAGGTTTTTGAACAGCGAATCTATGTAAGTTTAAAGATTAAATTAAATCCTGATAAGTATTTTATATAACTGTCGTCTAGTAAAACAATTATCTAAATATCGTGCAGGTGTGTTATCGTCGAAAAATAGTTTATTTTATCAATGTTAATACAGCAACAATGTGGCAAGTAGTACCTATAAGCGTTTGTCGATTGTTACAGATTTTTTATCTATTAATTTAATGCCTATGTTATAAATTTAATCAATAAAAGTACTGAATTTAAAGTTTATATATAATACAAAAACAAAAAAAATGTAAATGTCTGTCTATAATATCGAAATCACTGCATTTTATTGAACTCGAGGTGTTATTTGATGACATGATTACCGTTTTTTTTTTAATTTTTATCTGCCTGTCGTGTTGGTCTGTCCGGGACGGATTATATCTTCACTGAAACAATTATGGTGAAACTTCACAAACAGATAGAGCAATGCCAAGAGTGATTTAGGCTATACTTTATCCGACAAACTTGGATATTTTTTTGTGATATTAAAAATTGATTTAATAAATTATCTTTGGTGATTATCTTAAATCCACGCACATTTATTATACTATATCTAGGTATTATTCAGTCATCATTAAATATATACAAGTGTGTGTATATATATTATTAAATTCAAAAGTTAAGTAATAAAAAAAAAATTATCACCGTCATGAATTTAAGAAAGCGTTATAAAAGCAAGCAAATTTAACTTACATGTTAACTGCTTTGTTTCAATATCTTTATGAAAGTTATGAGTAAATGTTCTATACTACCAAGAAAACAATAACGAATTCGCGCGGGAAAATTGTCGACAACCGCGCAGTACGATGTAGACGACTTACTTTGAATGTTTGGAGACTAGGTGTCTTTTCCATGTCTTCTTTACTGGAATGTTTTCCCCGACGCATGCGCGCTGAGCTCTCTCCGGTTACCTTGGGTCTCTGAATGCGTGGATGCAACCATTCTGAAAAACGGTTGTCTGGCGGTTCCCGTGCTAATTCCTCCGCTGTATGAAAATATTGAAAAGATATGATATATATGAGATATAATATTATTATAGTCTAGTCAAAACACTCAAATGTGAAAGGTTCCATTACAACAGAGTCTGATTCGGATTTCGTGCAAAATTGTTTTACGCAACCACGCAATACGTATAACCAAAGAAGCTAAAGTACTTGGTAACACGAAATCAACGCTACGAGGAAAGAGAATGAGGAAAAACAATCGCATGTCCGTGTTGACTGTTGACAAATACGCAGTTTCAGTACTCAAGTTTGGGCGAATCGATAAATTTGTAGGATTGTGAATTTATTTTTAGCACATATCAGGGTGGTAGCTCAGGGCCTTAGCGCTCGCTGTAAATTTTATAATACGCGAGCAAACCGGGTTCGATCCCCGCCGGCACCAATGAAATTGTTAATTGCAATTTTAAGTGCTGATTTACCATGTGCTCGGCGGTGAAGGAAAACATCGGAGGAAACCTGCATGTCTGAGAAATGAATGAAATAAAAAAAATGAAAAAAAATTATCGAAGACGTGAAGTTCGCAATCACGCATTGCTGCAGCGGGGCGGACATTCTCTAGCCCTAAAACCCTCTCAGAAATAAGAGGAAGTCTGTGCCCAGCAGTGCGCCGTATGTATAATATATAGGCTGTCACTTAACAGGGTGGTAAAATTGCGAAACAGGTATATTTCGATTAGTTACGAACCTTGTTTAGTCCGTCGCGTCTCACATGGTAAAAAGTCTAATAACCATGCTTATGACCTGATAGGTGATCATTGCTCCTCTCCTTTCTACATTACACCTCTAGCACCTGTATAACTACCCATCGTCATTGCTCTGGTTACATACGTATATGATTGATTGATATCAAAAGCAATGAGAAATTGGCACTGCCCATGTTCTTACAACTAGAAATAGTTTGATCTTGCGTTAACATCATACATTGTTGTGTTTAGGTAAATTATAACCATTACAATCATGTAGAAATATTTGATTGGTAAACCCATGACGACAATAATTTTTATAATGTAATGGAAGCGGGTGTGACTCACTACTTTTTGCCCTTATTAACTTCTTACGTATTATACTTCGAAATAGAGGTAGCATTCATTAATTTACTTTATTTTTGATTTAATATTTGAATATTAAATAGACAAATATATTTTAACTTGAGTAATTAATGCAACAGGTAAATTAAAAAAAATTAAATTGCTCCATCAAAAATCATGTGATAGAAAAGCTGCAATTAGAATAAATAAGAGGAAAAGAGAAACCTTGTAGCAGAATGATTTCTCTCCACGACCTACTGTTCGTTAAGACGAATGCAATAAATCTAATGCTGGCATGTGAAAAAAGAAAGCTTTCATTCGTAAAGAATAACCAGTAAAAATTTTAAAAATGAATATATCTTTTGTGTACTCATAAACAAAACTAAAAAAAGGAACGTGTAGCCTAAAATTTGTAGGTAGCTACAATAAGCGAACTTTTCGTTAAAAGCAAAAGCGATCTCTTTTCTGGCCTTTTAAAAAGTTCCAAATATCAATTTTGTGGTGCCGCCTTTCTATTTAGATTGCTATCGTACTAATGAATTAAAACTAAATACGATAATTAAATATAAAATACGAACCGACTTTTCTGTTTATTTTTCTCGGTAGATCCCATGTTCCAGTGTAGTGTCCAAAGCATTTAGAAGTGCCCTTTGGGGCTCCTGGCAGGAAACGTCCATTGATGTCACAAATTGGCTTTGGGTTCGGTCGCATTTCAACGGGACGTGGGCGAGTTGGCGCCCAACGTGGAACCTCCCAGTTACCAAGTCTTTTTGGCATCGTTTCTTTATTAAACTGTCAAAAACATGTGTACAAAAAATGTTAAAGTAAAATTAATTTAGTATTTTGTCATTGGTTGTAATTTTATATTTACGTATATCTTTTTGTTCTTATTAGATATAGGTATAAAAAGGTGATATTTACAAAAATCTATATGAGTTTTTGACTGTACAAAATTAGGTTTATTGTTACAAGCGGATAGTAGGTATGTGTGATGATTGAACATACCAATTTTATACTCAAGCTAAAGTGGCAACCTCACCTACATGCGATACATCCTACTGACTAAGGGACGTGGCCACCAAAAAACTATTATTTATTCTATGACCAAAGGCCAACTGGCTATGGGAAACATCATTAAAGATTTGTATGCTCCAATCCGCCTGCGCGACTTGATGAATATGGCATACGCTTTAAGAAATGCAAATTACGAGATGCTATATACATTATTTATTTATGTTCAAATACTCAAACGCTGTTCAATTTTAAGATGCCGTTAAGTCTCGCGCTGTCTCTAACACTAAGGCTGAGATCTATAGATCGTACTTTGACTTTACTCAGACTTAGCTTACGACAAACTTAGCTGAGTATATGCTCAGCATAATCTTTGATTTTGAAATTATAGTTGTATCGGGCTAAGATTAAGCTAAGCTTATGCTAAGGCCCAGACAGTCCAAATATTAATGGATGTTTCATTCCACACTTTGTCACTCTTTCCTCATTCATTCTTTCTACATGACCTTTCTATGCGGATGACAGCACTGGTGATGCTCTATACACCGGCCGTGCCAATATTTCTCGGGAAAACTTCGCCGAGTAGGTACCGGAACAAACTTGTGTCTGAAGTCGAGTCTTTGCTGAACAAAGTCTCGGATTGGGGGCGACTAAATCTAGTTCAGTTTAATCCTCAGAAGACACAAGTTTGCGCGTTTACCGCTAAAAAGAACCCCTTTGTCGTATCTCCTCAGTTTCAAGGCACTCCCCATCTTGCCTCAGCCAGTATCGGAATCCTCGGAGTCGACATATCGAGTGACGTGCAGTTTCGTTTCTTCACTTGGAAGAGAAGGTCAAATTGGCCTCTAAAAAGCTTAGCGTGCTCAGCAGAGCGGGACAGTATTTCATGCCGGCACACCGCCTGCAACTTTACAAGGCGCAGGTTCGGCCTCACATGGAATACTGTTCCCATCTCTGGGCAGGGGCTCCCCAGTGCCAGCTCCTTCCACTTGACCGCATCCAGCGCAGAGCGGCTCGAATCGTCGACGACCGAGTCCTTTCCGATCGGCTCGATTCATTGGCACTGCGAAGAGATGTTGCATCCCTTTGCATTTTCTTTCGCATCTGCCACGGGGAGTGCTCTGAGGAATTGTTCGGATTAATCCCAGCCGCCAAATTTCACTTGTTGGTAGTACAGAAATAGGTCTAAAATTAGCGGGGTACAATGTACTACCAGATTTAAATAAAGGTATTACTATACTATACTCAGGAAACACACCAGAATCGATACAAGTATAAAAGATAATAGCAATATGACGTGCAATTAAATCTATTATGCACGCAATAACTGTAACGGATATCCCCCACAAATCTACGATTTTCTTTACATCAATGGTTTTGAAGTATTTTACAATATCTTGTGGTAATACTTTTTCAAATTTAAATTCTTTTAAACAGGTATTAACATTCTGTTTGAGTAATGACTCGGCGACAGTTGGAGAAATATTCAATGACTCTGTTGTCAAGATAGGAATATCAGTGAAATATTTCTCAAACACCGCTGCGACTTCTTGATTTGATTGAATCAATTAATTGTTAACTTTTAATTGATAATTTGAGTTACGAGGTTTGTCTTTACCGGTTTCGCTGTTAATTATACTCCACGTCATTTTAATTTTATTCTTAGTCGTCTTAATTTCGTTGCTAATATGTAACGATTTGGCTGTGGAGCAAACTCTTTTAAACATTTTAGAATAATTATTAATGAGTAGTAGATATCCTGTCATTTACCCCGAGCTGAAGCTAAAGGTTTCTATCATACAAATAATCTTCAGAACACTGACCATAACGCCCCATTTGGTTTCCATTTCACCATTTCCCCATTTTATACTGGAAAAGGGTTTTTTTAACAGAATTTTTTAAAATCTGCATTCAAGAATACCGCCAATTCGAATATAATGAAAATTTAATCAGATGTTCATTATGCAATTATATCAAACAATAATGGGTTGGGGATGATGTCACCTGATGCTCTCGAAAGAAAATAAAATTGACTGAAGAATTTGAACTGTAATACAATAGTTAATTTATCATGCACACCAAACGCTCCGCCTCGCCGAACACTGTCCACTGTTTTTTTACCCCCAAGGAATGATGGGAGCGCGTCCGGCGGGGCGTGAGACGTAGCGGCGCTTTCGTATTTGGTTTTTTGAGGTACCGTTTTCTGTAATAAAACAGTGAATTTGTAATGCGTGCCGGCCAATAAATGAAAGAAGAAAGAAAGAAACATTTATTGCAACGCCATTAAAGCCACAAACATCATTAGGTACTTAAATTTTAACATTTGTAGACACATCAATTAAAAATAGTATAACAAAATAAAATAAGAAATAATAATAAAGAAAACAACAATTTGAAGGATATAACAATTTAAAAGTATATATACTCATAGATTACAGTAAAAGAGAAAAAACAATTAAAAAAAAAACGTTCCTCATGTTGTGTTGTGGCGCATTAGGCAAATGGACCTCACTCAGCTTATACTGTTGCCGAAACAACAGCGTTGGTTTTTAGTGGGCCCGAATGCGTGTCCGGCGGGACGTAAGACGTAACGGCAGTTTCGGCATACAGATTTTCCTCCACTCAGGACTCCCAAAAGTGTATGCACGCCGAACACTGCGTTCAACGAGCACGCTTATCTCCGAGTTTCTAATCTAACTTATATCTGCGGCGCGTGTGCAAGGTAATATTTTGGTAGAATCTATAACAATGCTCCACCTTTTTCGCATATTGGCAGGCAATGCTAACTTTCACATATACGGCCTCGGGAGAAGACCTTCTGTCCATATCCAATATGGCAAAAAAAATTAAGGTCATTGTATAGGAAAGCTCATTAAACCAATGGAATTCCATTCTCCTTCATTCCTTTCAATGTAATAAGTTGTTTTCGCAATCATTAATCAATTTTTCGGGTAAAGTTACAGCCTATAAAAGTCCCACTGCTGGGTGCAGGCCTGCCCTCATTTCTGAGAGAATTTTAGGGTAAATATAAAATTGCAATCCGTCATTTTCTTTTCATCAAAACTTCATTCATATTATAAGCAAAAATTATCACGAATATTGAGAAATAGTGGATATTAAACAAAATTTATCAGTCAAGTAAAAACTAACAGGTCTGTTTACCAATCTGAGGAAAAGGAATTAAAGGATAGATATTTAAATTATTTAAAATTAAAAATTTTGTACAACCGACTTCTATATATATTATTAAGAATAACTCAAAAACTATTCGTCAGACCTTGATCAAATTTATATGGGACCACGTGAGAAACACCAGCTTTCAAATAAAATAAAGAATCATCGAAATCGGTTCACGGTGAACAAAGTTATGAGGTTACACACATAACAAAACATACAGTCGAATTGAGTACCTTCTCCTTTTTGAAGTCGGTAGAAAAGCAGCTCAATGCTACTGTGTTTCGTATGGTGAGTGTAGAGAACCGGAGATCCTTTTTAATGGAAACGAGGCTTTCCATCTTAGTCTTCAAAAGTGACAACGCATTTGCATTTTGATTCTTAATCGAGGATTGGTGTAGATGTCTGGACCACAGCATCTAAATACCATCAGGTGGACTGTGTGCTCGTTTGTCACCCTTATTCTATAAAAAAAATACTGTCGGTAAAATGGCGAAGAGGGTTGAACCTACCCAGACGTACTTCTCGGTAGAAAGGGGGTCCTACTGACTTGTATTATTAATTTATTAATTGAAGTATTTCTTTAAATAATCCTACATAATATTAGAAACATAATTTAAAATTAATAATTTTGTACAGCCGACTTCAATATAAGTTATTAATAATAACTCAAATAACTCAAAAACTATTGGTCTGACCTTTATCAAATTATATATGGGACTACACGAGAACTATCAGCTTTCATATAAAAAAAGAATCATCGAAGTCGGTCCACCCAGTAAAAAGTTATGAGGTAACACATAAAAAAAAACATACGCGTCGCATTGAGTACCGTCTCCTTTTTGGAAGTCGGCAGAAAATAAAAATATGACAATGTTTGACATGACAAAAATCGGCGATACGGTTACCCGTGGTTTAACCACGGGTAACCGTATCACCGATTTTAAAAATGCTCAAAAACTCATTTAAAAATACTCAAAGTATTGTTAACTCTGATGAGGACGGAGGAGCGTGTCTACGACTGGAAACACGTGTCGAAGTCATTGAAATGTCAACATGAATTTTACAACTGTGATGATAACAACGGCGACCACAACGTCATACTTATTATACAAATCTGTATGATTATAATTTTCATTTGATAAAAAACAGTGTTGATTACATATTTCATAAGTAATACTTTAAAACCTTTTTTTAACCAATCGAGTTCAAAGTACGAAGTGGTTTTTTATATAAAAATATTCGACGCGTATTTTTTGTGTTTTACTATTTCTCGGAAACGGTTGAATCGGTTTAAATGATAATATTTTTATTAAATAGCCAAAATTTAAGGATAGGTCACATATAAATTTGAAGAAAAAATTCTATCCCTAAGGGTGGAAAATAGGAGATGATGATTTTAACGACTTGTGATATTCCACTCCCACTCAAAAAAGTAAAAAAATAAACTTTTTATAAAAAGTAAAACCTGCTTCAATAACTGAAATCTTCTTGGATACATTACGACTAATCACTTGTCTTAAAAATAATAAAACAATTTCCACATAGCTTTTGTTTTGCTTAGTATAGCGCACACGTTTATAATATTGTGATATCTTTAACGGTGT